CTCCTCCTCCTCCTCCTCCCCCAGTCTGTTCCCTGATGAATAACTCCTCCCTGTCGCGCCCCGAGGCAAGTCAGAAGGGCGGACCAGGCGTTTCGCCTGAGACATCCATGCCCTTCATGAGCCTGCAGCCTAAAAGCTGTTAACAGTTTCACCGATGGAGGGCGGGTGGTTTTCAGAATGTAGCTTCCGCCTTAGCGCCCGCATTAGCGCCGCGCACATCGTTTTAAAAAATTGCCAGACCTTCACGGATTGACGGCGGTTCATTTTCAAAATGCGGCTCTCGCCTTAATGCCGCGGACATGTGTTTCAAACATTTGCAACAATTTCACAGATTGAGGGGGATCCTTTTCAAAATGTGGCTCTCGCCTTAATGTTCTAGTCCATGTAGCAGTCAACGGGATAAGTACCTGAGTCTACACGTCCTGGGGAGAAAGTCCAGATCCAGTCTTCCTACGTGGTCGAGGATGTAGTTGTCGGTTGCCTTGCTGGTTTGTTTTTCGTGGCCAGGTACTCCAAGCGCCGATATGTATAGCTTCGTGTACGTGGAATGGAGTGAAGCCTTCTCTTTGACAACAAATGTTGGCTACACATCCGCGCTGTGGGCGAGTCTGGAAAGCGCCAGGGCATCTGCTATCAGTACCGGGTCCTTAGCTTCGATGCTTTGCTGAGTGAAACTGGCTCTACGGACGGGAATACTTACCTGCGTAGCTTGTAACTGTCGATATCGCATTGTTGGCCCGCGCGTATCAATAGCTTTCAGTTATACCATCCAGGTTCTTGGCCTTCTGTGGCGATGTCGATGTTATGTCCAATGCTAGTATTGATAGAAGTCCTTTGCAGGTCCCACGACGTTTTTCCACGCATCGATCCAAGGACCTGCACTTTGGCCAGGTCGTAGCTCGCAGTCAGTGCATGCTCACGTGGTCTATCATTCACCGCTTGTGCGAAACTATTGCAGTGTGGTCTCCGGTGATCGTACAAAGACCCCGAATCGTCCGCATAAGCATTGTCGTGAGCAGCCGGAGGTTCCTCGTCATCTTATATTATCTCCTGCGCGCAGTCATAGGTGCAAAACATCTAGCAGTAATACTCTGTCGGCAGGCCTGCCACGTATGGACATTAGCGTCTTTGCGTGGAGTGCGCTGAACATGTAGTCTGCTAAACTTGTAGCAGGTCTCGATCCGTTTGTGATTCGTGCGACTGTTACGAGCTCCTGGCCTGTGAACCATGTGTTTCCTCCTCCTCCTCCTCCTCCTCCTCCTCCTCCTCCTCCTCCTCCTCCTCCTCCTCCTCCTCCTCCTCCTCCTCCGCCCCCTCCTCCTCATCAGCACGCGCGGGATCGCCGAGGGAAGGGGGAAGATCGGATCGGATCGACTCGGCAGGAGCGAGCGTCGAGAACCACATCGCAGTCTGGGGCCCCCGTGGTGAGAGAGCCACCGGGTGGAAATAAGATGTCCAATCATCGTCATCATCATCATCATCACCACCATCATCATCATGATCATCAGAATCCTCCTCACCCTCCTCATCATCTCATCATCAGCAGCATCGACATCATCATCATCATCATCATCATCATCATCATCATCATCATCATCATCATCATCATCATCAAATACATCAGCATCATCATCATCATCATCATCATCATCATCATCATCATCATCATCATAATCATCATCAGCAGCAGCAGCAGCATCATCAGCATCATCAATAACATTAAGAACATCATCATAATCAGCATCATCAGCATCAGTATCAGTATCAGCATCAGCATCAGCATCAGCATCAGCATCAGCATCATCATCATCATCATCATCATCATCATCAGCATCATCATCATCATCAGCATCACCATCATCATCGTCATCATCATCATCACCATCACCATCACATCATCACATCATCACCATCACCATCATCATCATCATCATCATCATCATCATCATCATCATCATCATCATCATCATCATCATCCAGAGGTGGGCGGGAGAGGAGGGAGGGGCGAGAGGGGCGGGCGGGAAGGTGAGGGGCCAGGACAAGGACGCGGCCTGCCTTCGAAGAGGCAGGACCGAGAGACTGTTGCTCGCGTGGAGACAAGCAAGCAGAAAACAGCCGCGCTTCGCAAGAGCCGCCCTTCCAAGACTGGCCTCACACCAGGGGAGACGCATGGACCACAAACGGAGAGACGCATGCTGACCTGGCTGCAGCTCGCCGCTGCGACCGCTGAGCTGGCCACGCGGAAACTTCGACCGGACCTGCCTGCAAGAACTGACGAGCGGAAATGCAAAAACTAACTGCTCCTCAAAACATGTAACATGTGGCGCTCTCGTTGCACCTTGCTTCTACCAGAATGCGGTGCTCGGGAATCGAGGGGGGATGCAAAGTCCCAAACCGCGTTCCTTCTGCAGACCTCCCCTGCGGGGGGTTGGGTGAGACTTCATCGGAGCCTTTATGGAGCTCCGCGGCCCTATCATGAACGTGATGTCGAATGACTTCGCCTAAATTTAAACCACCCCTCTTCACCCTTTCGTCCAGATTTCGCCAAGAAGACGTCCAGATGTCGACGAAATTCTGACGAAATCCCCCAAACCGAATGAATTTCAGGACCCTCCGAGGCTCCTGTGAAGCACCACACAACCGCGGCGGCAGCAGCATTCACGTCGCCCTTCCCTGCTGCAGGCCTCCCAAGCGGGGCAGGGGGAGGAGAGCTTTTTTAATTCGCGCTGATGCCTACGGCGACTCAGCAGCGACCGGCCGCCCTAGGACGAAGCCAGGACGAGGATAATATTGGGTGAGGGTAACTCGAGAATCTCTGAGATCCGGCGGCTCTGGAGCATGTCTCGGGCGCCGCGGCCTTCTCAGAGCGCTCCGGAACGCTCTGAGGGCGCTCCAGAACGCTCTGGCATGGATGTATCCTCGTTCGGCCTAGCCCCGTCAGACCCCGGCCGCTCCTGCCGATGTTCGTCGAGCTGTAAGTGCCTCCCCTCCTTCTCCCCCCCCGCGGCCGCCTTCCGCCTTCTCTTGCCGCCAGACCATTAGTGTTCCGTGCCCCGGACTACTTGAGCGCGCGTGCGGATTGCCTCTGCCACGCTGCGACGAAAAAAGCGGCGACTCAGGGAGATGATTAGAGGGGGCATATCGGTGCCTGACTCCAGCTCGATGTCGCTGCCAGCCTCGTGAGAGGCCTCGGGCCTTAGAGGCCTCGAGCCGCAGAGAGGCGGCAACTAGCTGGACTACAAAAAGAAAAAACGGCATAAACATTAAACTCTTGGCGCTCCACGCGGATTTCTTGGTTCTGCGCCAGGGGCGGCACCGGAGGCACCGCCGAGGGCGCTCCAGCGCGGATCCAAGAAATCCGCGAGGAGCGTCGAAAGTTCATGTTTATGACGTTTTTTCTGCGATAGAGGGCGGCAGGGGGGGGGGGGAGAGGGCCTTGGGGCAGCTGAGCTGGGGGCACTTGTCCGCGTCGGATTTCCCCTCGAACTGGGCGGCGCAGCCGTCGCTGTGCGCGTAGGACTCCACCGGGCACGGGCCCACGTAGGTGGAGCCTAGGGCCGCGGCCCGGGGCCACGCCGCCGGGTCGTCCCAGCAGGGGGCAGGGGCTGAAATTAGTCGTGCCCCCTCGTCTAGCACGATCCTCCTCCTCCTCCTCATCATCCCCTCCTCTTCCTCCGATCGGCATCGTGCCCGTCGTCGTCGTCGCCGGCGTCGTCGTCGTCGTCGTCTTCATCCCCGTCCTCATCCTCCTCATCATCCTCATCCTCACCCTCCTCATCGACATCATCATCATCATCATCATCATCATCATCATCATCATCATCATCATCATCATCGTCATCATCATTATCAGCAGCAGCATCAGCATCAGCATCAGCATCACCATCATCATCATCATCATCATCATCATCATCATCATCATCATCATCATCGTCGTCGTCGTCGTCGTCGTCGTCGTCGTCGTCGGCGTCGTCATCGTCATCGTCGTAATCGTCGTCGTCAGCAGAATCAGCATCAGAATCGTCATCATCGGCATCATCATCGTCAGCATCAGACATATCAATATTATTATCATTATCATCGTCATCATCAATAGTACTATCGTCATCATCAATAGTACTATCATCATCAGCATCATGATAAGCGTCATCGTCGTCGTCATCGTCAGTAGAATCATCACCAGCATCATCACCATCATCAGCATCATCATGAACAGCATCATCATCAGCATCATCATCAATTACATCAGCACCATAATCATCGTCGTCGTCGTCGGTATCATCATCATCACCACTACCACCACCAACATCATCATCCTCACCATCATCATCATCATTATCATCACCATCTCATGATCATCACACACATCATCACATCATCATCATCAACAGCATCATCAACATCATCATCAACATCCGCATCATGGTCATCATCATCGCATACATCAGCATCATCATCAGAATCGTCATCATGATCAGCAGCAGCATCATCGTCATCATCGTCATCATCCCCGTCTCATCACCATCATCAGCATCATCGTCGTCACCGTCGTCAACAACATCATCATCATCGCCGTCAGCACAATCAGCATCATCATCATCATCATCAGCATCGTCATCAGACTCATCATGTTCGTCATCATCACTCTCATCAGCGACATCATCAAAGCCATCAACACTCTTAGTCATCATCATCACCACCACCGCAACCATCATCATCAGCATCATCATCATCAGCAGCATCGTCATCAGATCGTCATCATCATATGACCAATCACCACCGTCGTTCCCATCAGCATCAACATCATCATCGTAACAGCAGCATCATCATCACCATCACAATCACCGTCACCATCACCATCATCATCATCATCATCATCATCATCAGCCCCATCATCATGAGCATCATCAGCGACATCAGCATCATCGTCACCATAATCATCATAATCGGCATCAACGTCATTGTCATCACCATCATGATCAGAATCACCATCATCCGTTATCACCATCGCCACCTATATGACAATCACCAGCATCATCGTCAGCATCAGCGTCATCATTATCATCATCAGCATCATGCCCGTCGTCGTCGTCAGCGTCGTCGTCGTCTTCATCCCCGTCCTCATCCGTATCCTCATGCTCATCCTCACCCTCCTCATTGTCATCATCATCATCGTCGTCGTAATCGTCGTCGTCAGCAGAACCAGCATCAGCATCATCATCAGCATCAGCAGTATTATCATTACCATCAGCATCATCATCATTATTCTTATTATCATAATCACCATCAGCATCCTGATCATCGTCATCACCGTCGTAATCGTCATGGCCGGCAAAATCAGCATCAGCATCATCACCATCATCAGCATGATCATCAACAGCACCATCATCATCAAATACATCAGCATCATCATCGACATCAGCATCAATATCATTATCATCAGCACCGTCTCATTACCACCATCGCACACAACACTGTCATCATCATCATCAGCATCAGCATCGTCATCATCATCAGCATCAGCATCATCGTCGCCACCATCACATACATCAGCATGATCATCATCATCGTCGTCATCACGATCAGCAGCAGCAGCATCGGCATCATCGTCACCATCATCCCCGTCTCATCATCATCGTCGTCGTCAGCATCATCATCATCATCATCATCATCATCATCATCAGTATCATCGTCAGCATTATCATCATCAGCATCGTCATCATAATCATCACCTTCGTCATCATCACTCTCATCAGCGACATCATCGAAGCCAACAACTATCTTAGTCATCATCATCACCACCACCGCAACCATCATCATCATGAGCAGCAGCATCATCAGCAACATCGTCATCATATCGCCATCATCATATGCCCGATCATCACCGTCGTTCCCATCGGCATCAGCCACATCATCGTAAGCAGCATCATCATCATCACCATCACCGTCACCATCACCATCATCATCATCATCATCATCATCATCAGCCCATCATCACATCATCGTCATGGACATCACCATCATGATCAGAATCACCAGCATCCGTCACCATCATCGCCATCAATAGGACCATCACCATCATCATCGTCATTAACAGCGTCATCATCGTCATCAGCATCGTCATCATCATCATCATCATCATCATCATCACCATCGTCATCAACAGCATCATCATCATCAGCAGCATCATCACCACCACCAGCGTCAGTGTATCATAATCATCAGCATTATCACCATCATCATCACCACCAACATCATCATCACCATCATCACCATCCTCACGGAATCAAGCACTTGTCAACGAGAAGGCTGGGGTGGCACGGTCACGGTGGCGAGAGTTGCCGTGGGCAGCTGGATAATCGTGCGTCCGACATATGCTGAGGCTCGAAAGCTCCAAAATGGAGCCACCACCTCCAATATGGGTTGCCCGTTCCCTCCACTCGGAAAATTGTTCATCCGTCTTGGAAATTGGGAAAGGTTGTATCAAAGTGTTTCTACGCGACCTTGCAATTATCGTCCCGTCGGCCTGAAGAACATCCCTGATGGCCCAGGAGGGGCCCAAGAGGGCCCCAAAAGACTGCCCAAAAGGTCCACAAAAAGAGCAAGAGGCAACCGAAGACGTCCGTGAGAGGGGGAGATCAAAGGATGTCCGCGAACGGATCCAAGGATCTTAAATAGGAGTTTACACTCCAGAAGGCTCCCAAGAGGCGCCCAACAGGCCCAGAAGAGAAACAAATCATCAACTCGGAGACAACAGTACTCTGGGCTCCTAGTAACAAGACTAGAAAAACGCTGTTGTTTTCATTCGCTCCAGCTGGGCCTTGACCCTAGATCCAGGCACCATTCTGGGATGGACCGAAGGCCGCCGGACAAAAACAAGCAGATGAACAGTTGCCAGCGTGGCCACAAGCAGTGGGCTCGCGTGCTTGTGCTGGGCAATGCAATGTGATGCATCGCCCACGTGCAGAACAAACGTCACATCAACAAAAGCCAGCAAGACCCGAGAACCTCTGGGGGTCACCAAAATTTCGCATCTACCAGGACAGCCTGGCCCAGGACGATGGGTGGGCACCGCGAAACCGCAACAGTGAGGGCAAGCGGGGCCTGGGACCTCATGGGCGGTAACGATAAAAAATCGCAACAGCGAAAAACAGATCGTTCCCAGCCAGAAAAAAAACGTCTGCAAGCACTTCTGGGGGAAAATTCCACCAGCCCTTCGGGTGTACATGGTTCTAGAAGCTTCGTTCTCGAACCTCCTCCCCCTTCAAAGAAAGGTTTATCACTACGCTTTATTCATCTACACCCCTCCCTACCTGACCGGCGACAAACCCAGAGCAAATGAGGGCGCCCCCTGGAAGTCCCTGTCCAAAAACACTGCAAAAGTGCACTTCGCAGCAAAATCGTGGGTCACGTTCTGGTGCGAGCATATGGCCTGCTGTGTGAAGGGCCACCATCACAACTGAAAATAATACATGCTGCACTTCGTGGCTCAATCTGGATCATGCGCGGCACCTCCCGATCACTTCGCGCTGGTTTTGGAAGGCACGGAGGGGGTGCTGGCATACTGCCTGCTTTGCGCAGACCCACCAGACATCATGATGGCCATTCCGCCGCGATTATGCAATGACTTTCGACCAGGATGGTGGGAGCCGACATGTTTCCCGACGTGCGCGGGCGCACCTCGCGCACTCTGCGCGTGTCCCTTGGCTGGAGCATGCGCACCTCGCACACTCTATACGATGGCGCGGCTGGAGCATGCGGCACACTTGGCGAAGGCGGAGCACGTGGCGCATCTCGCGCACCAGGCGTGCCTGGCACGCTTGGGCCCGCGCCTGGTGCGCGTGGCGCGCCTGGCACGCGCGCCGCACTTCGCCCCAAAGACGACCGATGAATATACTGAGACTGGGGTCCTACTTTTGGATTGGGAGGGCGGGTGGGAGAGAGCCAAACAGTTTGCGTCTGCGAGAAGTGTCGTGACCCCTCCCCCGACCCCTCTGGATCTGGACTGGACGGAGGGGGGCGGGATAACGATGGGGGGGTGCTCACGATGGCCAAAAAAAGTGACCATGGAACCTCACAAGGGGACACTTTGAATTATCGTCGCCCTCTCACGATTTCGCTTCCGATGGGCCTCGGAATCGGAGGCCTCCAGATGGCCCCAAGAGCGACTCAAGAGGGGCCCAGATGAGGCCCAAGACGGGCCCACGAGCGCCCAAGGGTGCCCCAAACAGGCCACAAGAGGCGAGGTTTCGGGATCTGACGGAGCGCAGCAAATTGAGGACAGCCCCCCTTCCCGTTTGATCGATGTCATCCAAGATAGCCCCATGAGGGCCCTCAAGGCTCCCGAGTGGGCCCAAGACGGCTCCGCAAGCTTCCAAGTCTGGCTCCAAGAAAGCTCCAAGAGGCTTCAAGGACGAACTTAGAGACACAATTCCACGAACGCCTTCATGGTTGACTCCTGTCGTCCTCCTCCTCCTCCTCCTCCTCCTTTTCAACTCTCCTCCGCATCCTCCTCCTCCTCCTCCTCCTCCGCATCCTCATCATCCTTCGACGGCAGGCTCAGCAGTTCCACTCCTGAGTATACTCAGGCTGATTCCGAGCTCGGCTTCACAGCTGGCTCGCTTCTACCCTTCCCTGATGAGGACAACATCAAGAATCAGCATGCGCACTGCGCCTGCTACCGTGGCTCGCGGGAGATGTCGGGAGGAAGCGGCAGGAAAAGGAGGGGGGAGAAAGAGAGGCAGCAGATGGCGGCAGGGCGCTCCTGCGGCGGCAGGCCAGCATCGAATGCTTCTCTCGCCTGGACGTACCCTTGCGCTGCTCGTTCCGAGATGCACGGGGGAATGGCGTGAATGCGTGAGTCACTGCTGCTACGAGCTCTACTCGTTTCCCAGACGGCACGCAGGGCTTCACTAGAACGTATGGTTCGGAGCACAAGCACCGCTTCTTTCTGGCGGCTCGGTTTGTTCGAAGCATGGGCCCATGGACCTCTCCGAACCATTCCCCGGGACTGGCTTTTCATCCTGAATCGTGTGTGACAGCCCTGGGGCCCGAAACCGACCATCGGAGGCCCAAAGGACCGCTGGACGTCTGAGGCATGTAAAGAACAAAGAACGTCCAAGAACCTCGTGGGAGCACCAGAAAATGCCTACGTTGCCCTGGCGCGGTGCCCGAGGCTCACGCCGGCGGGGTGCTCGTAGAGGTTCCGGCACGGCACGCCTTCAGGGAGCTCCTCGCGCTGGGGGTGACGAGGATGGAATGGAAGGGGGAGGAGAAGTACCCCAGCAAGGTCCCCGCAGCGTCCCGGCAGGGTCGGGTCACAGATGCCAGAACTCCTGGGCGCCGCCCTGGGGGCCCCCAGAGCGCCCCAGGAGCGTTCCAGGGAGGCTCCAAATAGGTAGCAGGCCCCACGGCTCCAGGCCAAGAGCGCTACAAGATGGCACAAAATGGTCTCAAGACGGCCCAAGAGGCGCCCAAGACGCCCCAGGAGGGCTCCAAGAGGACCCGAAGAGGCAAAATTCACGAATGCTACTTGAGATTTTGAAAGATTTTGGCATCACCGCCTTTTCAAGCTTCCGACCGCCCAGGACGGCCCAAGAGGCCTCCAAGGTCGCCCCAAGTCAGCCCAAGAGGCTCCCAGGACGGCCCAAGAGGGCCCCAGGACGGCCCAAGAGGCCTCCCCAGAGGGCCCAAGAGGCTTCCATGAGGGCCCCAAGAGGGGGAACTCGAACAGACATATCGAGACTTCCCCGAAAGCTGCCCCCCGAGACCGTCAGCAAACCCCCAGGAAGCCCACAAGAGGCCCCCGCACGCCCAAGAAGGATGCTCCACAGGGGCCTCCAAGAGGCCCCAGAAGGTCAAAAAAATGCCGCCAATAAGCCCCGAGAGGACTCCCAAGAGACCCCAAGAGGCCTTCCAAAGAGGCGCCCTGTCCGCGACCCAGTTTTGTCCCCACGATTCCCAAAGAAGCCGTCGAGAGGCCTCCTCCTCCTCCTCCTCCTCCTCCCCCTCATCCCTCTCCTCCTCCCCTATCGAGTCCCCCATCCTCCTTCTCGCCCGCCACGGGCACACCAACATATAGCAACATTGGTGCAACATGGGCTGGCGGAATGAGCGAAGCGATTAATTCGGCGGGCGCCCTGCGGACCCTGGCCGTGTTGTAACCTCGGAGGGTAAATGATATAAGTGAGAATGATGGGCAATGGGCAACACACACGCTCTGGCGGCGACGATTATGGGCTAGGCCAAGACTCTGCACCCTTAGCTGTACCCTTGCTTGCTACCTTGGCTGTATCCTTGCTTGCTCAGTGAGGACGATGGAGGAGAGGGAGCAGCATGCATGAGGCTTGCTGAGACGGGCTTCGCGCATTACGCCAGCCCGAAGAGGCCCGAAGAAGGCAGCCGCACCCTGATCATCTCTTTGACACGTGAGGAAAGGTGTGCTCTGCGCTCTCGGGCACGTGGGACACGTACAAGCCCGAGTGAGGCTCGCTCCGATGGCCTCAAGTGGCCGTTTCGCTCGCTCGGGAGATCCTCGACAAATCTGCTTCGGAGGGGACTCTGAAGCTCAGAAACTGCCAATCGCTCGGGGGATCCTCGACAACCAGGCTTCGGAGAGGACTCTGAATTGCAAACCTGATCGACCCACAAACCATGAAATGGTTTAGAACTGCGAGGCCTGGGAACGTTCCAATCACCTCAGTTGGGCGATGGACAGTGGCAAGACTGAAGGTATCAATGGTGATGCGACTGCGACCTGGAGCTATGTTGTGTTTCGCTGCGCTGTGCTGCGCAGAGTGACGTGCCAGAGGACGCGCCACGAAACGTGCCAGCGGACGTGCCAGGGGACGCGCCGCGCGATGTGCCAGGGGGACGCGCCACGGGACGCGCAGGGGGTCGCGCAACGGAACGTGCCAGCGGACGTGCCAGGGGACGTGCCAGGGGACGCGCCGCGCGACGTGCCCAGGGGACGTGCCAAGGAAAGTACCAGGGAACGTGCCCGAGGGTCACGATCCCTCGTAAATTACTCTGGGCGATGGGCGATGGGCAGTGGCAACGCTGAAGAGATGCATGGTGATGATACTGTGCCAGTGGCTGTGTTGTGCTGCTCTGCACTGTGCCGCGCCGCACACTGACTGCCAGGGGACGCGTCACAGAACGTGTCACTGGACGAGCCAAGAGACGTGCCGCGCGATGTGTGCGGTAATGTTGAAGGCATCGATCGTGATGTACCGTGACAGAGGTTCTGCAGTGCTGCGCCGTGCTGAAATGAGATGTGGCATGCCGCGATACAATATGGGCCCGACCACAAGAGACCTTCCACAAGAAACCCAACCCTGAGACCCCAGGGCGTCCATTGATGTTTGGTGTGGGGACGTCACGCTTTCCATCGCAAGACCAACGAAACCCACGAAACCCAGGGCACCCTGGAGGCAAGCAGGGTGTTTCATGGCATGGGCCTCCACTGTAACGTTCGTTGTGCTCTGTAGTGTTGTGGATCAAGTCGCCCTCGGAATCCGAATCCTGACCGAAGTGATCTGGATCTTAAACTCGAGCTGTCTGGGCGAATAGCTGGCCCAGAGCTGGTTGCAATCGAAACGTGTTGGACGCTCAATCAGCTCGAATTCAAGGTCCGAGTCAGTTCCGAAGCGGAACGAGACGACACGGGGCGCAAGGCGCATGGACGAGCCACGGGAGGTGCCAAGCGGCGCCTTAAGGGATGCCCCATGGGACGTGTCGGAGGACATGGCAAAGGACGCACCACGGAACGGGCAGGGAAGACGCCATGGGACCATGTTCACGCTCGTCCCGTTCTGGTGCGTTCGGAATCGCGTGTTTTGACGTTGGTCCAGCCCCAGGGCGTCAAGAGCCCACGTGTCTTCACGTGTGTCCCGCCCTGGGGCGTCAGGAACCCACGCGTTTTCATGCGTGTTCCGCTCTGGGACGTTGGGAACCCACGTGGCGTCGCGATTGTCCCACCCTGGGGCGACAAGACCCCACGTGTTCACGCTTGTTACGCCCTGGGGCGTTAGGAACCACGCGTTGTCACGATTGTCCTGCCCTGGGGCGTTAGGAACCCACGTGGCGTCACGCTTGGTCGTTAGGAACCAACGTGCGTTCGCGCTTATCCCGCTCTGGGACATGTTTTCACGCTTGCCCCGCTCTGGTACATTAGGAACCCATGTGGCTTCACGCTTGTTTCGCCCTGGGGCGTTAGGAACCCACGTGGTTCCACGAATGCCCTGCTCTGGGGCGTTGGAAACCCACGCGTTGTCACACTTGTCCTGCTCTGAGGCGTTAGAAACCCACGTGGTTTCACGTTTGTCCCGTTCTTGGGCGTTGTGAACCCACATGGCTACACGCTTGTCCCGTTCGGAGGCGTTCGAGCCCGCGTGTTGTCACGGTTGTCCCGCCCTGGGGTGTTATGAACCCATGCGTTTTCACACGCATCCCGTTGCGGGGCGTCGGGAACCCAAGCGTTTTCACGCGTGTCCCACTCTTGGTCGCTAGGAACCAACATGGTGTCATGCTTGCGCCGCTCTGGGGCGCTAGGAAACCACATGCTTTCACGTTTGTCCCGCTCTGGGGCGCTCGGGAACCATATGTGACCACGCGTGTCCCAATGTGGGACATTAGGAGCCTACGTGTTTTCACGCTTGCCCTGCCCTCTGGCGTTTGGAACCCATATGTTATCACGCGTGTCCCGCTCTGGGACGTTGGGAACCCACGTGTGCTTACGCCTGTCCCGCTCTGGGGCATGAGGAACCCACTGGTGCTCACGCATGTCCCTGTCGGGAGAGTTGGGAACCCACGCGTGTTCACGTTTGTCCTGCTCTGGGGCGTAGGGAGCCCACGTGTTTTCATTATTCTCCCGCTCTGGGGCGTTGGGAACCGAAGTGTTCCGCTCTGGGGCGTTAGGAACACAAGTGTTTTCAAGTTTGTCCCGCTCTTGGGCGTTAGGAACACACGTGGCTTCACGCTTGTCCCGCTCTGAGGCGTTAGGGACCCACGTGGTTTCACGTTTGTCCCGCTCTGGGGCGTTTGGAACCCACGCGTGTTCACGAATATCTCCGCTCTGCGACTTTGCGATCGACCATGTTTCCACGCTTGTCCCGCCCTGGTGCGTTAGGAACCCACGTGTTGTCACGATTCTCCTGCTCTGGGGCGTTGGGAGCCCACGTGTTGTCACGCTTGTCTCGCTCTGGGGCGTTAGGAACCCACGCGTTTTCATGCTTGTTCCGCTCAGGGGCGTTTGGAACCCACGTAGCGTCGCGCTTGTCCCGCTGAAGAGCATTCGGAACCCATGTGTTCTCACGCTTGTCCCGCTCGGGAGCGTTAGGAACCCATGTGTTGTCAGGATTATCCTGCTCTGGCGTGTTATAAGCCCACATGTTTTCACGCTTGTCCCGCTCTGTGGCGATAGGAACCCACGTGGCTTCACGCTTGTCCCGCTCTGATGCATTAGGAACCCACGTGTTGTCCCGCTTCCGGTTTGGACGCCCGAAATGGGTACCGAAAAAATGGGCAGAATGCCCAACAGCAAATGTTGTCCCAAACCAACAGCGGCCGCTGTTGGGCAGGCGGCCTCCTGTCTCGAATGGACACAGGCCGCGGCGGCGTGGACAGCGAGCCCTGTTCAAAATGAACAAGAACCGCTGTTGGGCATTGTACCCATCCTTTCAATACCCATTTCGTGCGTGCAGATCCGGGGCCACGACCCCTCATAAATAACGGTCCGACCGCACTCCAAGAACCACAAGGAATCCCAGGGCGCCCAGGCCAAGACATCCTCAGATGTTCGGCGCCCAGGGCGTGCCATCCTCGAGCGGGCACGCAAATAGCCAACATTCGCTCTGCAGAACAACCGCGGTGCTCGAGACATCCTCGAGAAACCTGCGCGCCGGGGCGCGCCGTCCTCGAGCTGTCAGAAAGGTCTGCTGCTGCCCGTTCCCCTCTGCCCCCCCCTTCGCGCCCTCTCCTTCCCCCTTGTTCCTGCCCGTCCCCCTTGCCTTCCCCATTTCCCTCCTCCCGGGCGGGGGGCGAGAGTCTTCTCCGTGGCGGCGGGTTCGGCGCCCGCGCATGGCTCCATTGAGCGTTCGTGGCCCTGTCGGGGCGCACGGCTGGCGCTTCGTCGTTCCCCCGTTTCGCGCGAGACGCTCGCCGGTCTGCGCTCTGCGCGGCGACTCGTCTGGGTCCTCCGCGGGGGCCGCAACGTGTGAATGCTTTGTTTGG